CTAGATGCAGATGGAGTCTAAAGAATGCTGAACCCCTTAATCTCCTGGGTATGCTGTTAATGCAGCCCAGGAGACTGCTGGTATTGCTTGCTGCCAGGGCACACTGCTGGTTTGTGCCAGCTTTTTGCCCCAAGGCTCCCCAGGTTGTTCTCGGCAGTGCCACTCCCCAGCCAGTCAGTCCAGTCTGTATCACTGGGAAACCAAAATTTTAGACCAGTGAAGGTCAGACCTCTGGAGGTCATCCAGACCAACTCTCTTTCTCAAAAGCAGGGCTAACCTCAAGGTTAGATGAAGCAGCATCCATCATCTAAACCTGAAACCCACAAATGACATACACAAAACAATCCACAGGAAGTTTTAAATTCTATTTCTAAAGAAATATTATTATTATTTTCCAAGTACATCATAGCCAATAAAAGCTGGTACTATAAGAAAGTAAAGAGATGACAGCAGCTGCAAAAATAATGGAAGCACCCAAAAATAATTATTCAATAATGGTAAGGACAGGGAAATTAAAGGATTTTAGTGAAATGTGCATTAGAATGAATAGTAGACCCTGGCTCACTTCAGTTGCATTGGCAAGCAAGTGAAAATTTAAGACAGCTTTTGAGCACTATCATGAAAATAAGGAAAATCTTCAGGACAGATAAAAATCATGGTCTGGAAGTGACCACAGCAACTATGTTCATCCAGACTCCTCTCCCAGGCTCAGCCTATTTTCATACTGAAACTGCTCACGATTCTCAAAGCTATGGAAAGATTACCCAAGACAATCAGTACAAAAGACTACTCCACCAGGAACAGGCTGGGAGACAGGCAGGAGATGCAGAGATGAGCAGCCCCTGTCCCCACGGCAGAACTCAGTAGTGGGATCTTTGCAAAGCACAGAAATTGGGTATATGTGTCACTAACCCCCTTGTGCCTACCTCCTACATCTGCCCTGACTGAGGCTCTGGTGAGAGGCTGCCCCATTCACCAGCTTGCTCATCTTCTCCCCAAGAGAGACACAGAAGATATCCATTGATCCTTCCATTAGTCCCCCAGGCTACCTGCCATGTGCCCCTAGCAGAATCTCAGCTCTGCTCACATACTCGGGGTGGCAGACGGCAGGGTCCAGTACACTGCCAGACATGTATATGTTCATGATTACATTAGCAGAAAAAGGAAGAGATGGGAAACGGGGAATATGGAAAGGGGAGAGAACAGCTTGGGAGAAGCAAAAGGAAAATCAAAGGGCAGCTCTGGAACCATAGTTCTGTGAGAAAACCAGATCATCCTCACTGGGGGTCTGCATATCTTATGCTGCTGACAACTCTGATCATATCCTCAGAACCAAGCATCCCGTGGCTGGCAGAAGTGGCACGGAGCAGTTCACCCACCCTGCCTGGTAAAGGCAGCCAGCCATCGCTCTGACTGCACTGTCAAACAGAAGAATCTTGAAGAGCAGTGAAAGCCTCCCAACCCTGTGACTGAGTGTAACCTGTATGAAACCACCCACTCACACAAAGATCTTCACTACATTTGCCCAGATCCAGCTGATAAGATGAATCCCACATGAAGCAGTGAATAAAAGTTATGTGGACGTTGCTACATTATTGTCATTTAACTGTTTGGAACTGTAATGGAAGATGGATGCCCAGGTACATTGTTTGTTTGTCAAGGTTACAGTTGATGAGGTTGATGAGGTTGACCTGATGGCTCGATCTGGTCATAACTCACTGAAAGCAGTTGTCTGCAGTCACACACTGTGATTGTAAGCAACAGTCCATGTGACAAACCAAGGCCTGTACTGTGCAATCAACAACTCAAGTGCTCTTGAAAACAATATACTGTAAGAATTTCCAGTTCTGCACTGAGATCTCTACCTGGAGATCAAGCTCAGGAACACCCAATGAAGAACCTGAGCCTCACCAACTCCCAAGAAGACCCTCAAAGACTGGGTGGCTATAGATCTACATGCATGTTTTGGACAAGGACAGCAGAATAACTACAGGCTGTGATCCAAAAATCCCAACGTGTAACCTCTGATTTCCTGATCAGAGAATGCATCTGTTGTCACACTGACTTAACTCATTGCACTAAGACATTTATAAGCTATTTATATTTAGTATTTTGTATATTTTAATTCATGTTTGAACACAAGAAAGTTCCTCATAACCTTTCCCCAAGAAACTGCATGTTTAAATTCAGACTGTTGTATACTGTTTCACCCGCAAAAGCCTGAAAAGTTTAGATAGCTCAAGACAACCCCATCCCACATAAAAAAAATCCAGTTTACAATGGAATACACCCTGCAAAGATAGGACATTTAAAATATTAAATGCAAAGAATAAAATGGTGTAGGACATGTTTGCTCACCACAAGGACAGCAGAAATTTATTTTTTCAAAGGTATTTTAAGTATGAATTTCATATTGCAAAGCACTTTAAATTCTCTAAGGCAGAAACCAAAAATGCATTATCACACAAGCAAACCTATATCTTAGAATCCTAATGAAACAAGACTATTACAAATTATCTAACTATCTGCTAATTTGAAGACTCATCAGACATAATAAAAGAAATTAATAATTTCCTGTACTTGTAGGGAAACTCAAAACCAAAATTTGTTTTTCATTCTCATGAAGAATTGGAGCTGCATTTCCCTCAGTAGCAAGTATAAAAGGAACTTCCAAGTGGTCTCTAGTACAGCACCATAAGATCTGCTAGTGAACATCTAGGGCTACCACTAAAACCAAAATTTATCATTTAAGTTTGGGATTCCCTATCATAAATAGGCTTTTTTACCACCCAGCTTGTTTATTCAGCAACCTAAACTTAAGATAAACATTTGATTTTAGATACTTTCCTAAATAAAGGAGATTAAGTTTCTCAGTTGTAAAAAGGGAAAAAATTTCCTTTTACTAATATAATTTTTTAATTGAGGTTTCATTCAACCTACTTGGATAATACTGCAGTGTGGAAAGAAATTACATAGGAATCTGAATCTTACAACAGAAAACCGAGACTGAGTTTTAGAAACTATTGAAGTTACTTATAGGAACAAGAACAGAAATATTTATGTATTACCACTGGTGCTGTATATTTCTGGTTACTAGAGTATTTTTAAAATGTGGATCTAAATGTAGCATACCGGGTCTGTAAAGAACCTGTAAAAGGACAAATACACAGGCTTTTCCCTATGAAAGAGCAACGTATCTGTTAACCTTTTAAGCGTCTTCTCGTTCACATTTGATTTTCCACTAAAAATAAATGAAATATATATATGCCACACAAAAGGTCTGATAATACTTATGTATCTGCTACCACCTGCTGACAAACAGCATTATTGACGTTATCCTAGTCAATCTTAAAGAAGCAACTCCTATTTCCCTATAAGAAAGTTTCCACTGCTGCTACAGTGGCTGAAGTAAAAGCTACACAAAGTTTTTAATACACTATGTTGAAGCCATAACAAACCAATAATTTCCTATTCCCCCATCTTATCTGCATCACAGATTCAGCACTGACCAGCATATTCCACTCATAAAGCAGCTACTGTATCCTTCATTTCACTGAAGCCCTTCAGCTATTACAGATGGTTACTATAGTCAATTACAGAGCAATTACAACAAACTGATTCCTCACAAAAGTCCAAAACCATGTGATTTGTCACATCATCCATAAGACTTTCCAAATGACGCCAGTTTCTTCCGATGTTTCCCAGTCTACAATGTGGAACGAAAACACCTTTTTTCTTCCAGTCTTAAGAGCAGAATGATAGCAGAAATTACCACCTTTGCATCACCTTACTTAATTTTATAATGGTTTAAGTAAAAGCCTCAACTGGCCTCTAGATATTATTGTTGAGAAGATGACCAAAAACCTAAAGCACACCGAGAAACACATCCTTAGTTTCAGATATGTCACACTAGATTTGAGAAGTGTGACAGTGAAAAGAGACTAGTTCACAGTGACAACCTATATTTGGCTATATGGCAGACTAAATTAAAAGTATTTGTAATATTTACCTATACATGCGCTTCCATTTTGAAAATAGCCAAAACTTCACATCTGATTAGCCAAAGAATCAGAACAAATAATTTCATGAAAGCAGAATGTGGAGCTATATATGACAGTATGGCTTGTTTGACAAAGTTAATCCTGTTAAGATTCATGAAGTCTCCTGTCTTAATTGACTGGAACCTGAGTTTGAAATCTCTTTTTAAGTGATTGGTTTTTAAGATTGGTTCTTCCTGACCTACATGCATTTAGGAAAAGGAGTTATAAATGAAAGGTTTAACCTTTTAAATGCCTCATTCACTTTCCACTGTTCAGTTTGGGGTATTTTTTCATTTGGAAATAAAAAACCAAAACCCAGTGTTTTTCAATTGGCCTATGCCCCTGCCTAGACTGTTCAACTGGGGGGTTTTTTGGTCAGAAATTTCCAGCTGTGCTTAAAACTCTCTTTTACCTCCACTTCCATCCCTGAAGTAGGTGAAGCTGATCACCGAGTGTTACCAAGAGAAGGTCAAAAAGCCAACACCAATGCTGGGCCACTGATCCAAAGCCCCCTGGAATGCCTTGACACCAGCTTGAGTCCACCAAGCAGATCATGGCAAAACACCCTCTCCCTTTAGCTTCTTAACTTCAGTACCGAACGCTACAAACACAGCTAGAACTTATTAACTCTTTTCCGAAATTTAGGGTCACTTTTAAGGAACACAATTTCGGTCACACAACCAGGAGGGGTGGTTCTGAAGGTGCTACCCTCAGGAAAATCAGCCAGGCCTATCACGTACAGGCCCAACCACTAGCCTTTCCCTCTGAGGGCGTGAGGGAGGCCCTGGAAACACCACCTGTGAGACAAGCTGCCCCACTGCCGTAGGGAAAAAGATTAAAATCTCCCCTCATCCAGCCCCTCGAAGCGAACACTGCCGGCCAGGGACCCGGCGGCGCCCGAAATCTCGCGAGAAGTCGCCCAACGGCCGCATAGCGGCCGTTGGGCGGCTTCTCGCGAGATTTCGGCGCCCGCGTTGCCGCCGCCATGGAGGAGCCGCTGAGGAGCCCGCCAGGGCTGTCCGCAATCCTGGCGGTAAGGAGAAAGCTCGCCCGGGGAGAGGGGAGGAGGTGACCGGTCACCGCGGGGAGATAGGGAAGCCCGCGCTGGGGTGTTGGCTCCTTCCTCAGCTTGGCACGGGGTGGGGTGTTGAGCGAGGCGTGGGACTGAAACGGGTTTGTCGTTTCGGTGTGGGGGCAGGAAAGCTGCTCGCTCTGTAGCCGCCTAGTGATTCTTTCTCCTGCCATAGCCTAAACTGCTTTCATTCTGACTGTAGAAGACGGACTGGTCCGAGCCCTGGCTGGTGGGGCTGGCGGTTTTCCATCTCCTCTGCTTCCTCCTAACGTGCATCTCCTTCCAGCACTACCGGGTGCAAATAGGGCACTTCCTCTGCATGGGTGAGTATAGTGTATTCCTGCTTCCGTGGGCTGGCACTCGAGTGATAAAGAGCGTATGCATTGCTGTAGCAGTTAATACTGTCAAACAGCTTCTTTTGTTCTCATTGCCGTTGTTCTTGTGGGGGACTTTAACCTCCCAGATATCTGCTGGGGTCACAGCACAGCAGAGAGGGAACAATCCAGGAGGTTCCCGGAACGTGTGGAGGATAACTTCCTCACACAGCTGGTGAGTGAGCCGACCAGGGAAGGTGTCCTCCTGGACCTGCTGCTTGTGAACAGGGAGGAGCTTGTGGGGGAGGCAAAGGTTGGAGGCCGTCTAGGGTGCAGTGATCGTGAGATAATCCTTGATCATGATTTTTGATCCTTGGAGAAACAAAGAGAGGGGTTAGTAAAACTGCCACCTTACTAACTTTGCCCTGTTTAAAAGACTGATTAACAAAACCCCTTGGGAGGCTGCCTTGAAGGAAATGGGAGCCCAGGAAGGCTGGACATGCTTCAAGAGAGAAGTCCTAAAGGCACAGTTCCCATGTGCTGAAAAACAAGCAGGCACTGGCCTGTCTAAGCAGGGACCTTTGGCTGGATCTCAAGAACAGAAGGAGAATCTGTTGCCTTTAGAAGAGGGGCCAGGACTCTCATGAAAACTACAAAGATGTGGTGAAGTTATTCAGGGAGAACATTAGGAGAGCCAAAGGACAGCTAGAGCTCAACCTGGCTACAACTGTTAAAGATAATAAAAAATGTTTCTATAAATTCATTAAAAAGATGTGGATATTGTCTACCTGGATTTTCAAAAAGCCTTTGACACAGTTCCCCATAGAATTCTCATACAAAAACTGGCTGCCCAAGGGCTGGATGAACGAACGGTCTGCTGGGTCAAGCACTGGATGGATGGATGGTCCCAGAGTGGTGGTCAAGGGAGCTGAATCCAGCTGGCAGCCGGTCACAAGTGGTGTTCCTCAGGGCTTGGTGTTGGGACCATTTCTGTTTAACATCTTTCTTGATGACATAAAGTGTATCACCAGTAAGTCTGCAGATGACACCAAGTTAAGCAGGAATGTCGATCTGCATGAGGATAGGGAGGCTCTACAGAGAGATAGATTGGATCGGTGAGACAACGTTAATGGGATGAGCTTCAACAAGGCCAAGTGCCAGGTCCTGCACTTGGGCCACAACAACCCCCTGCATGGCTACAGGCTTGGGGAGGTGTGGCTGGAGAGCTGTCTGGGAGAGAAGGATCTGGGGGTTCTAATTGACAAGCAGCTGAACAGGAGCCAGCAGTGTGCCCAGGTGGCCAAGAAAGCCAACGGCAGCCTGGCTTGTGTGACCAGCAGAAGTAGGGAGGTGATAGTCCCCCTGTGCTCTGCACTGGTGAGGCCACACCTGGAGTATTGTGTCCAGTTCTGGGCACCTCAATACGAGAGAGATATCGAGGTGCTGGAGCAAGTGCAGAGGAGGGCAACGAAGCTGGTGAAGGGCCTGGAAAATAAATCCTATGAGGAGCGATTGAAGGAGCTGGGAATGTTTGAGGAGGAGAAGGCTGAGGGGAGACCTCATCACTCTCTACAGCTACCTGAAAGGACATTGTAGAGAGGTTGGTGCTGGTCTCTTCTCACGGGTGATTGGTGATAGAACAAGAGGGAATGGCTTTAAACTCCAACAGGGGAGGTTCAGACTGGACATTAGGAAAAAAATGTTCGGAGAAAGAGTGGTCAGATAGTGGAATAAGCTGCCCAGGGAGGTGGTGGAGTCACTATCCCTGCATGTGTTTAAGGTCATTTAGATGAGATGTTGGGGGATATGGTGTACGGGAGAAGTTTGTAGAGTAGGGCTGATGGTTGAATCCCAAGGGTCTTTTCCAACCTGAATGATTCTGTGATAACTGTTTTCTTCATATACTTGCACAGTGTATGGTTTTATACTTTGCAGCAGATAAAGTGCATGCAAATTAGTATTTCTCTTGAGTGTCTGTACATGATAAACTGTTACAGAAGCTGGTGTGACCTATAACTATGTATTTATTTAGTTACCAAGACTGTATGAAGTAGTGACTTAAAACTTTGGCCTTAGTGAGGATCTGGAATAAATAAGGTTTCTGCATGGTGAGTGCTGTGTGTATCACAGCTTCCTAGGAAGTTCTTGCTCTGCTGGAGAAACAGAATAGAAACTGTCTGAGAACCAGCAGTTGCTTTCTACTCTGCCTTATTCTTATGCTGCAGTTCAGCAAATACTTTCAGCTGGATTCATTTCTGGAGCAGATTCACCATATGCCCCACTGGCAGCTGTGGTAATGGCATGAGGAAGAGCAGGACTGGTTTCGTACATTGCAGTAACATCATGTGTTACCTCCAGGGGTTTATCAGACTGCAGCCTGAGAATCCACAGTGGCCTTGCCTAGACAGAGCTGTGTCTGTACGGCTGACTGGCTGAAGGTGTATGGTTTAATTAAGAAGGCATGGAGTTGGGTTTTACACAGCACTTCAGTTCTGTCATGCTTTCAGGGTAGTGAAGAAAGAATGAGCAATTGAAAGAGTTTTGAAAGCAAAAAGCCACTTGAAGACTACATGCTATTTAGTGAGCTAGTCAAGTTGGGAGAGGAATTATAGCTCTATCAGAACTGTAAATAACTTCACTCAGCTAAAGCTAGGGCTTCAATAACATTATCCCCGAAAAAGGTATTTAGAAATCTCAGTAATTTTTATACATCCACTTTTAACTGCAGAGTTTTAAATTATCTACAGAGAGCAAAATAATGCCCTGTTCGTGACAACATTAGGCCTGAAAGGTCCCTATAAGAATATAGGTTTTTCTTAAATTTCAGAATTTCCGATGACTTTATGTTTACCTTAGATTCTTTATCTGTTCCTGGTGTTACTAGCAGTAGTTTGATTGTCCAAAGTTTAACTGCATTGGAACTGATCATTGCTGGCTTTCTAATCCGGATATGATGTAAACTTCTTGTTAACAAGAGTGCATAAAAATATCCATATTGAGTCCAAACTTTGTTTGCACCTGAAAACTTGAACCACTTTTGATATGTTTGCAATATAAACGATTTTGTATTGTAGATAGTCAGGAGTAACTGAGGAAATTATGAAATTATCACATTTGTTTACCTTGTCAGCTGTGCAGCTATAGATATGTTTATATTGTGTTTAGATATGTTTATATTGTGCAGGACCAAGCAGACATAATCCAGACCATGGTAAAACAAGATAGCAGTCTTTTGTATCACCAGACTAGTTATTCAGTTGCCTTGTGTGTGTCCTCTTTAGCCACTGAATCTGGTTTGTTTTCCCTTTTTTTCTTGTGAAAAATGATACAAGGGCAAATTTAAAGTTTTGTAGTTGTATTGTTTTTCAGTTAAACGTGTGATTGCACTGCATTTTCTTACTGTCTTGAGGGCTCCATATTTGCATGTAATTGTTGAATAAGAATATGCTAGTTTTCACCTGATTGCAGCAGACTACTGTGCTGTACACCTATTCAAACAAAGTTTGTATTTTTACAAAAATGTTTATATATAATTAGTACCCTGACTTAAGATAGTAATGTTAGATATAGCAGTGTGACACAATAACATCTAAAATGATAACTTAATTCCATGTCAGTTTTGAGGAGTGCTGGCACTTCTTTTTCACAGAAGTAACTTAGAAGCAGTCATCAAGAAGATTCTTTGAAAAAATACTGTTTGGTTTTTTCTTTTTTTAATTCCTTTGCATGCTCTAAGCTCAGATGAGTAGGATTTTATGTTAGTTTGTTTGCAATATAGTGGGTATGTTTTGTGATCACGTTACACTTCTTAGTAACTGTATGGGATATTTTCAACAGGAATTGGTTTTGTGCAGTTAAATATTAAATTTGTAATTTGATCTTTTGAGGATCAAGGAGTTCTAATGTCTGGTATGTGTACATTGCAGAACTGATGGCAGTCTTTAAAAAAATAATATTTTTCTTTTGTTGTACAGTGGGCTTAGTGTACTGTGCTGAATATATAAATGAATTAGCAGCCATGAATTGGAGGTAAGTGTTTTCACTTTCATTTTTACATTTAAACAAATGTTATTCTAAAAATATTTTTTATATTGATCCCAGAAAACATCAATTTAAAGAGTCAGTCGTGCCTCATCAGTAGAATGTGATGGCAGAGAGACTGTTGCATTGACTAATACTAAACTTTTAAACAAAACCATACAGTACAGCATAGTTATCACTTGGCTTATAAGAAAATATAGTTTTTAATAGCTAACATGTATTTATTGCACCACTTAAAATTTGTGTTTACATGGATGGTTTAAGCTAAGTCAGAACTAAGAGAAAAGCAGAATGAGATGGTTAAGGGGAAGAGGATGTAAAATTTGATTTTGTTTTTGTTGGGTGGTTTTTGATAGCTATTTATATTTAATAAGCTGAAGTTAAGCACCACTTCTCAAAAATAACACTATTTTATATACTTACATGCATAAAAAGCATCAACACTTGTCTGTTTTAGTAAGCCTGGGTGCCAGAATTAACCTGATGGCTTATTTTCATAAGCACTGAACTAACCTTTCCATGATATAACTGGAAATCATGTGTTTTAACACTACTTTATGCAGGCATCTAATTGTAAGGCTTTATGTTTCACTTAAGGCATACATGACCTAATTAACTTTGCTACATTTATTATTTCTGTTAACTTTTCTAATATTAGTAATCAAAATACTTAAAGTATTTTCAGACACTTTAGGGTAAGCAGGATTTCTGATACACAAATAAATGTACTATTGTAGTCACACTAGTAAGTTAATTTATGGTTGTTTCATTTAGGTTTTGCACAGTAAAACTTTAAAGAAAAGAAAGACTGGTATTGTAATAAATATTCATAACTGATAAGATACTGACTGTCTCTTTGTTCTGACTTAATACTGTAGAATGCTGCCTGTGTTTGGGGATCCCGGGAAGTAGGATTATCTGTACAATGTCTGTGTTGAATACTTAGTGTGAAATGGTATGTGAACTACACTGAATAAAGCTTCCTCTTTTATTTTTATTTATTTTTGTTTATTTCAGGTTGTTTTCTAAATACCAATATTTTGATTCAAGAGGAATGTTTATTTCACTTGTATTTTCAGCACCACTGCTGGTGAATACTATTATAATTGTGGTATGTATGTGTTCATTTATATTGATGCTTGCATTAAATTGATAAGTAAATATATGTGGATCAGTTAAATTTAATCATTTACTTACTTTTCAGGTTACCTGGGTTTATAGAACTTTAAATGTAATTTTTTTTTTTTTTTTTTTTTTTTTTTTTTTAATTGTACTAAAACCTGTCCAGGTAATCAATCCTTCTGTATGTTTATCCAGAAATGGCAGTGGTTTTGTGTCTGATGTGAAGAGGACTTTGCAACCTGTGGCCATGGACAAAGAGGTGAAAGCAGTACGATTGAACTGGCTGTGAAGTTGAGACACCCAGTCTTAACAGGTCTTTGTGCCCATCAATGTAAGATAGTTTTCCACCATGATTGAGGCTGCTAGTATTGGGGAGACACAATCTTCCAGTCTGTTTCCATTTGCCTGTGGTTTTTTTAACCATGTCTTAACTGTGTATTTATCTATTATTCAGTCTTCTGCTGCATAAGGCAGTTGGAGCAATGTTGTGAATTCCAGTAAATGGTGGATTGCATTCAGAATACCTCAGGAATCCATGCTTCTATGAAGTATTTAACTTCTTTAATAATCAAGTTTCATACTTCCTATGGTATTGTGTGCCAGTAGCATTTTATAAATAAAATTATCTACTGTATCTTAAACGGATTTAATTTATATTGTTTTTTGGTCGGATTTTTTATTACATTTTTCTCAGAAATTCCCAGTTTGGTAAAATCTTGTATTTAATTTGTATAAGTAATTCAGAACAATCTGCATTTTTTTCAGTTTATATGTCATGATTTTAATGCTGCTGCATAAATATATTTTCTTAAAACGGGATGAAATTTTGATAGTTTTTGCTTATTTGTAGAAGAGAAAGGAAGGAGAGAAACTTTTTAATGCTCTATGCAGTTTTCTTCCCTTTTTTTATGCTTTACTCTTTAATAAATAACTGAAAATGAAAAATTAACTCTGGTAAAAATGAAGAAGACTTCAGTTTTGCCCAGAGTATCCTGTTTTTATTGGATTAAGGAAACTGCAGAGGGGGAATGAACACAATGGAAGACTGTCCAGACATATTTAGTAAAAGTTGCATCTGGAAGCAGTTAAACATTTCTGTGGAGACCTAAACTTCTGTAAAATAGAACTCATTTAAGACATAGGAAAGACGATCCACAAAATTGAATTTAGACTAATGTGAAGAACAGTTGGGTACAAAAACACAGTAGAAAAGCTAAATTTTTAAGATAAGTATTTTTGAAATTAATTTTAAATACTTGAATAGTCTTCACAACAGTGAAAACACAGACCTGAGGGAGATAAGCAGATGCATATGCACACATGGTTTGTGAGTCTCCTAGTTAGGGAGAGAGTGAAACTTTCTGGAGGGCGTCACAGCATTCTGGAAAGGCAGTGCAGTGTTAGTCTGGGATCCCTTTCTTTACCTTTCCCAGGGATTAATTAAGCATGGCTCTCCTCAATCATTGCTCTATCAAGAATGGGGGCAGGTAGGCTACTTTGTATTAGCAAATTAAATAGATGCAGGCTTGCTATGTTGTCCCATAATTGTCCATTCTGTTGCAACTCTAGATGCAATGTTGGGTAGTGTCAAGTTTCACTGTTCCATGAGAACATCTCTACTGGTCTGGTAGATAGCATGTGCCTTTTGGGAACAGTCCCTGTTCTGAAGGAGTGAATAGAATCTATCCAGATGGCTGCAAGATAGGCTGTGGCACCTGTCCTCAGGACTAAGGAACAGGCTTCTTCGGTTTTAAATAGGTAGATGTAGTCCTCCCAGGCTTGTTAGAGAAGTTCAGCTTTGCTCTTAACAATCTGATTGGGAGAGGTATGAAATTTTTCATATATGGCCCTAAGCATGACCACACAAATGTGCTCCTGACTTTCCCCTTGTGAACTGTTCTGCAACAATATCAATGCACAACTCATTTAGTATCACACACTTAAATCTGTAGTACCTTGTCATACAGGGATGGCACCTGTTTGGCTTCACAGCATGTATGAATGTGATTCACAGTAAATGAGGTCATCAGAGCAGCTAAGCAGCAAGTCTCGCAGTGGAAACAATGTGCCTTATTTAGTACAATCAAGGCAAAATTTCTTCAAATAGTTCAGTATCTTGTCTTCTTTCTTGTGTGTGAGGTTGGAATAATGGAAATCCCGTCTTCTGTAAGTATGTGAAACTGGTGAGCTATAGCAATTAGAACTATCTAGCATAACATAGACAAGATAACGGAAATTACTTCTGTATTGCCCAATTTTGTGTTACTCTTGCTTGGCACAAGATTTGCTAGAGAAATTCTCTCTACCTTTGGGGATCCCAAGTGAAATAGTTTTGTGCTTGCCTAAATTCTCCTTCCTCTTAGTGTAGTTGACCTTTCAAGCGGCATTTAATTGTGTTGCATTACCAGAGTAATTTTGCCCTTTAATAGAAGATCCAGGTCATGACAGCCCTTTAACAAAGTTGAAGGACAGTGAACCCTAAAATGTGAGTGGCAGGCACTTTATTTTTAATTAGCAAGTAAAAATCTGTTTGAGATGTATATTATCTGTTGATTTCTGATAGCACTAACAATGTGATAGCTAGGAGGTGGATATCCAAGTGGTTTAGAAAGTATCGGTTTGATGGAGGTTTTTTGTCTTCAGGAGTATTGCCAAGTGAAAGTATAAACAGCTTCAAGTTCCAAAATTACATCAACATTTTTTGAAGGATGAACATCTCAGCATGTACACTTCAGAATTGTAAGCTTGGTGGTTTTGAACCTCCCTGACTACTGAAATTACAATAAGTAAATGTAATAGCTGTAGAAGATAAATTTTCACTAACACAAAAATATGGTTTCCATATATGTATGTCAGAAAAATATGCCCATTTTCTACATCAAGAAGACTCAAACTTTTATCTGAGTTGTCCTCTACCTAATCCAGCCTAAGAAACACTAAGTTTAAGAGCTAAGTTTTTTTAAAAAAAACAACAAACTAGGTGTCTAACCATAAAAGAAACCCTGAGAATTAAGTGTGGCTTTCCTTCATTATGTGTCTGGATTTATGAAGTGATAGTGCAATAACATAATGTAAAGTCCTGCTTGCTGACAAACCAGAATAATTACATCATGAATTTAGAGGCTGTTCTGCCTACTTAGAATTTTGTATGTGTAAGTGAATGAGAGCCAAATGTTTAAGGCTGGTGGAATACCTTTGCTTTTATTTGGGAGACCTGAATTTAGGTTGCTTGCGAAAGAGCTTGATTATTTCAGTTTGGAACATACGTTCAGAAAGACTGTTAGCTGCTCAGCTGGATCCTTTGGAGAGTAAGATGAGACAGAGGAGGTTTGTTACTGGTTCTGTGTACCTTGCAGGCAGTGACTCATATCTTCAGCGTTCCTTTAACATGTCTTTCCACAACAACACATGGTGTCAGCTAGCATGGAAAAACATTAAAAGGGAGAAAGTAATATTAACCTGGCAGCTTTACCATAGTAGAAAGTAGTTTTGTTGCATATAAATCTGTGAAAAGATAGATTAGCAGAATTTGCTTGGCAAACTTCCTGGAGTTTGAAGTTGGCCTCATTCCCTATGGAAAAGTAATAACTGAGATGACATGAGTTTCCAAGAATGAGAACCTAGAATTCTCTTTTTCCACATCCACTGAAATGCCATATCCTTAGCTTGGAGTGTATTTTCACCTTTTCTTGGACCAGTGAATCTCATTATTCTAGTCAAAATGATCCAGTAAGAGAATTTGAATGTCTGTTCCTCAGGAGTATTTGCTAGCTTAGTAGATATGTGTTTTGGATATCCCCATCTCCCATAAAAACCACTTATCTCCCAAAGGCACAGAAAGACAGTAGGTTGAGGTCTTCTGCATCCTTGTGTGTATTCTAAATGAATTCGAACATGAAGGACAGTCTTAATACTTTTCATGAGCTGGGTCTTAAAAGAAGACTGAGACTACTAAATGGAGGAAAAGTATGGAGAATTGCTCTATGGATTTTGAGAATCATAAGCTCAAATCTTGAACTCTTTTTTTACAGGAACTGGGGATGTCAGGAAAAAGAGGAGTAATGATTCTTTGTGTGAACAAGATAGAAAAGAATACAGCTGTAATGTAGGGAATGTTCTATTTCTTTAAATACAGCTAAACATATTTTGCTTTTATTGTAAGCTTGATTAAAAATTGGAGGCAAAATGTAATTTTTCACTGCAGATGAATACAGCATTTTTATATCAAATGTATCTGTTTAGGAACCTCAAGTATTGTGTATGTCTTTTAATGGTTTTAATATTTTTAAATATGTCTTATAATATTTTAATATGTTTCAGCAAAACACAGGTGTTCATATTTTTCTGTGCATCAGGGGAAGAAATCATTGCAATTAACCGAAGTTGCCAGTGGATGTCACTATCTCACATGCAAAAGCTAACTCAAAGCTTTCCTTTCGAGCCAGTTCTGTAGGGCTTTTCACTGTAGCTTCATAAATACTTCTTGCAAATTTTGGGATGGCCAGGAAAGCTTGGACTGCAGCCTCTGAAAGCATAAATTGTTACTTGAGCTCCAAGACACATCTGCAGTCACTTGCAAATGTTTATTGATGCTCTTGTTTTCTATGTTAAAAAGTACTTGTAGCAGTGATGATGTGCATATACGCTTCCAGAGTCAGGACTGTGTGGGTATTTTGTGTTTTAAAGCTTCTTAATGAGGCAAAGAAATAAATAGTCCATTTGCTCATACCTACATTTTATATGGAGGAGTCTGCCTTCAACCAATTTAAAAAAGTATAACATCATAAAACAATTATTGTGTGAACAATATGCAGGAAAGCTTACTGAAGGAGTCTGGTTCATGAACTGACAGAGCTTATGCATGTCTTCTGTTTCCTTATGATTTACCCTTGCGTAATGCATTGTTACCAAGTCTGTCCTTAGTATGTTATGTAGATAGCAGTCGGTTATAATCATGATTGAAGTTCTCAGAAGTCACTTCAGACTTTCTCCACCATCTGGAAGACAGTACTTAGCAGTGTTCAGGGGCTTTATGACTTCATTTGAGAAGTTGCAGTTGCAGAGTTTTCCACTGGGTGTTCCCCTTTGTGTACCTGATTTTGAACCTGT